ATCACGGATGTCTGGTTGTGCTTGAATTTTATTTATTTATTTATAAATCCAAATCACTTGAAATTTTAAGTGTGTATTCTTCTCATCAAGACGCACCTAATAAAAATATAAAACAAATTATTCATAAAAAATGACCAAAATATCCCCCAAAAAAGTTTGGGGGTATTTTGGTCAATTTATTTCATGTAAAATTATTTTTTGATTTTTTTTGAAGATTCACCTATTTTTTATGAACACATATCTAAAATTTCAAGTGATTTGAATTTGTAGAAAAAAAAACTAAAATTCAAACACTACCGAACATCCATGATGGTCAGATCGGCCAGAATCAATATGAGATGTTGGGCTCATATGTTCATATGAGCCCAATGACCTAGATTGAATCTGAGTCGATTTGACAGTCACGACCTCATTTTGTATTTTAATTTTAAATTTTTTTTACAATTCCAAATAATTTTAAATTTTAGGCGAATATTCTTCAAAAATAGGACAATCCAATAAAAATATCAAAAAAATAATTTGCAAGAAATAAATTGATCAAAATGCCCCTAAAACGTTTTGGGGGTATTTTGGTCAATTTATTTATTACGAATTATTATTTAAATTTTTTATTAGGTGCGCTTTGATGAGAAGAATGGATGCCTAAAATTTCAAGTTATTTGGATTTGTATATAAAAACTATTAAAATTCAAATTCAAAATAAGGTCGTGACCGTCAGATCGGCCCAAATTCAATCTGGGTTGTTAAGCTCATATATTCATATAAGCTATTGGGTTAATCTCAACAATTTCTTTTATATATATATATATATATATATATATATATATAGAGGCTTTTAGGCCTTCCAAACTATTTACATACAGCAATTATGGATGTAATACTAACAGAATTTGTAGAATTAAAAAAGAAAAAGTTGTTAAACCAGCTTGCTTAGCTTTATGAGACAATAAAAGTTTGCACTCTTAGAATCTTGACTTCCTTCATCAAATCGATATGTCTATCACAAAGCTGAAGCTTATGGAACAATACTTGAAGTTATCAAGAAAAAAACATTCTCCATTGAAATGTATCTACCCTCCCTAAGATGATAACTCCTTGGGAATTAATGTTTCTCAGTACCATTGCTTATGACTAAAGTGGCTTGTAGGTTCCTCAGGGACTGTATGAAGAGGGAGGTGCGGCCCTTAACAAGGGGAATGTATATATAAGTGAAACTAGCCCACCTGGTGTGAGAAAAGCTTATCTCCAACAATTTCAAAAGGATTTCTCACAGTTTCTTAAACTGCGCTCACACGAGGTGGCACCAAATGGGCGTATGGTGTTCACATATATTGGTCAACGGGCTTCAGAAAACTTTGAGAGGGATTGTGGCTACATGTGGTTGGCATTGGTTCGAGCCATAAAGAACTTAATTTCTCAGGTATTTCTTTATCTCTATCTGTATCACTGATGCTTTAAGGATTTCATATGCACTCTCCCTCGGGCAAAAGATCTAGTTAGGAGCATTTTCTCATATGAAGATTTTGTGATCTCCTTTAGAATTGTCAGATGAGTATTTCGAAAATAGAAATTTGGATTTTCAGTTCCCAGAAACTTCTGATCCAATTTTAAAAAAATTGGCTGGCTATTCTCAATCTCAAGACATCACTTTCCATGCACATGATAATATTTTCCTTCAACGATGTTCGCTAGATTCATGAGATCACATCCCCACTATAAGGCCCTAAAGTTTCTATGAGATTCGGTTTTACCGGAGGAAGTGAATCTATGATATGCTCTCACAAAAGCATAAAATTTTCTTACTAATAATAAATTCATGCAATTTTTTGGACAAATGTAATGCAGGGACTTGTGAAAGAGGAGAAACTTGATTCATTTGATTTACCCTTATATACGCCTACAATGGAAGAAGTTGAAGAAGAGGTAAGGAGAGAAGCATCTTTCACGATTGAGCGTTTCGAGGAACTGTCGCTTCCTATTTATGGTAAGATTCGTGGGAAAGACATGGCACTTGCCATTAGAGCAGTGGTTGAGCCCATCACTAAGCATCATTTTGGAGAGAAGCTCATGGACAAGCTCTTTGAAGAATGTGCTCAGCTAATTGAGACAGAACTGCTAAATGAGATGACAAAAGCCAAAGCAGTGCAGGGGCCAATTACTTATGTTTTGGTCTTGAAGAGATCAATGTAAGCAATGTGCTCATCCATAACTTCTTGGAGGAAATCTTGAACTTAAGCTTATACCGGAGTTATGTTTCTGGTGCTGTTGTTGGAATATTGATAAATAACCAAATAAAATTTAAACCTCATGCTACCCAATGAGCTCACATATGACTATTTTTATCACAACTTTGAGCTCCTCTTTGTTTCTATTGATGTAATTGAGAATGCTCTTTATATGTAGGTTGTGGTTTACATAAGGTTGCAACCTTAAACAATCAAACTAAGGCACATCTTGAAATTTTATATAAGATATAATTTTGGTGTAAAAAATTCTTTGAATGGCCTAAGAATCCATTTTATTGCTAACTATAAAATTTTAAACTCAAAATATTGGTGACAATTGAGTAGATCCATAAACATATGAAAATCTTAAAAATGGACAATCCAAATAATTTATTACAAGATGTACTATTTTATGATTCAAAATACTTTTTTTTTATGTTCATAAATCTCGATATTGTGATGATCAATTGGATGTTTTTTCACTACCCAAACAACTATTTGTGATGATTTTTGAGGTGCACCTTACTTCTAGATTTTAAAGTTGCAACCTTATATAAACTTTTTCCATTAAAAAAATTATATTGTGTACAAAGATTTGACTATCCACCATAAAAAATCCAACTATCAAATAACAATAATTACTAAAATTATTAAAATAAAAAAATAAAAAAGAATACAACTTGCAGAAAATGTGGACATGAATTTATAGAAGGGAAATGTTTTTATACTTCGCCTACAACATAGAAGATCTATGCTTCCCCTACTATCCAGCCGTCCAATTTTGATGAAGATAGCCACTCACTGTTTGCTCTTAAATCCAACGTCTCAAAGTATTTTATTTTTAGTTTTTTATACAAATTGTATAAAAATGAATTTGGTATGTGTCATCTTCTCATTAGGGCGCACCTATAGAAAATATTAAAAATAAATTTTTGATAAAATATAATGATCAAAATACCCGTTGAAATTTGAGGGTTATTTTTTTCATTTTATTTTATTAAAAATACTTTTTATATATATTTTTTGATAGTGCGAGTTTAATAGAGGATTAGACATACAAAATTTGGTGTTAAAATAGTTTGTATAAAAAAAATTTAAAATAAAATGGTTTAGAGACGTGACATTGTGATTGGGGCAATCATAGCCCTCCATTCAAAATGGAGGGTTGGATAAGAGAAAGTATATAAGTTTTATGTTGTAGGGGAAGCGTAAACAGCTTGCTCTTTATTCAAAGCACAAAGTAACACGCCTCTTTGCTTGCCTCAATATTGATTTTTTTTTTAATTAAAAACTGTAACCTTCTCAATCTTCAAATTTTTTTATTTTTTTTTTAGTTTTTGGAGTTTCTTCTTACCTTGATTGTCAATATGGAATAATCTGAAATCAAGACGTGTGTGATAGATAAATGTATAAACATTAGATTGGTACTCATAAGGATTAGAATACTTTTTATATATCCATTCTTTTGAATTTTACTAAGTTTTAGGATGTACTATTTCTTTTTATTGGGCTTTCTCCCAAGGCAATAAGCGGACATTGATTCCTTTGTTTGAAACGAAAATTTTGGGTGTTCTTCATTTTAACGAAACACAGAGCGAGGAACTACCATCTCCTCCATTGCGATCATCAAGGGAAGAAAGATACGAAGAATATTTTCATGATTTGAATTTACTTTTCCTTTTGCAAGATAAGCCCTAAGTCCAGTTAGCACGTCTTCGATTAAACAATAACTTTTTATGTAAATTTTTTGATGTTTTGAAATTTATTAAAACTTCGAGTTGTTCAAAAGATCTTCAAAAACTCGTGTTTTTCTAATATAACCAATAAAATTTGTAATTTTCCTTTCTTTCTATATTTTTTTGTTTTTTATTTTTTTGGAAAGCATTTTTCACTGTAACATTATTGAAACTTATATTCTCTTCATTTATTTGATATTTTGAATTTTCGTTTTGAGAAAAGCAATTTAGAAATGGGATCAAATTAGCAATCTTTATTTAACAAAATAAATGTTTCAAACATATTTCACCAACATATTCAATCAAGCGATTGTATCATAGAAAAACAAAACATGAGTAACGTATATCCAGAGAAAAATAATTCTCAAAACAACCATAAATCTCAAAATAGGTGGAGTTAGAGGAAGAGTAATCCAATGAAAAAATATTCTGAATAGACAGAATTACAAGGAAAAGTAACCTGATAAAAATATTCTTTTTATTCAAACCAAGTGCATTATTATTAAGAGCAAAAGAGAGATTCAGTCACAACTAAATTTAAATTTAGGCTACTTGAAATTTAGGAAGAAGTTTGCATATTTCGGTTTGCTTAAGCATCTTGTTGCTCTCTCTGTGCATATAAAAAATTGATTAATTTCACCCCTTTCGAACCATTTGTTATTTCATTGATGTGAAGAGAGCAACATTTTAGATGGACAGCTATTTCACATTTTGGAGTTTTTTGTTTTTATTAGCTGCTATTTTCTTTTTTCTTCTAAGAGTTATTCTGTACTTTGGTTTTTACAGTTCTTGTTGTTTTTTAATGTAGTTTTTTAGTTTCGTATTGTTATTGCTGTTTCATTGTATGCACCCAACAAATCCATCATATGTCTTGTGTCGTAATAGAGTAAGCATTGCAGCCGTTTTTAATAAAATTTAGATAAAAATATATCACATATTACCCTCAACAATACCAGGTTAGGGCACAAAATTATTGTTAAATGACTTTTAATGTATCCGTATAGTTCGATTTTTTCACTCCATTTTTTCAGTCAAATTTAATATATTTACAATTATTTAATTTATTTAATTTTTGATGATCCGTATTTTTAACCGGATTTTACACCTCCAACGTTTGGAAAAAATACTAATTTATTACCGGTGTTTTGTGGTTTGCCCATATACGGTTATTATCCAACTTGCTATAACTATGTCCTTGAATTAATAATTAGTTTTTTTAGATAGAAAGCTTTTGATTAACTCTTTATTTTTCAACGAATGCAATTTTCTTACCATTGATAAAATATTTGCTCGCAATTGCATTGAGACAAAACCTATTAGGACAGGGCTGCCAAATTAAAAAGAGGGGGAAATTGAGGGTCCGGTCGGGTCTGGGCCGGGCCGGTCAAATCCAGGCCAACATTGGGCCAGCCTTACCTTCGGGGTATGGTTGCCCACCCCTAAAATACATACATGTATACGGGTATACATTCCATAGGTATAAATACATGCATGTATGTCACTTGATCTAAACATATGACCATACCATATAAAAGACGTATTCACTTGCATAAAGGCATGCATACACAAGACTCTATGTAATGAGATGCATAACATGAAGGAAAAAGTTTATATAAGGGTTAGGCCCTAGACAATCAAATTAAGATGCACTTCAAAACTTCACTGAGGTCATTTTGATGCTAAAAAATCGTCAAATTGATCATCTCGACCTCAAGATGTATAAACATGAAAAAGAAAAGTCTTGTAATATATTTTTTGGACCGGCAATTTTAAAAATTTTCAAGCATTCATAAATCGACTCGATCTATATTTTTTTTAATATTTAAATTTTATAATTAAAGATGAAAATAAATTTACAGGCCATCACAAAGAATTCTAGTACTAAAACAACAACTTTCAATACTATTTGAACGTATGCCTTACTTTGATGTTTTAGGCCTTGGCCTTATTACAAACCACACCCATAAATTGCTCATTTGCCCAAGGGCTGTAAAATGTTAATGAGAGGACCTGCATCATGTCATACATATCCCATAGAAAATATATTATAAGGCATGCGCTAACCATGCATGAATCATAGTACTGAAGGCATCATAGTGCATGCACCATAGAAGTATACCAATGTAAAGAGGTGTAATAGAAGGAAAAAGTTTATATAAGGTCTCAACCTTATACTGTGCTGGCAAGGTGCATCTAAAAAAACCATAACCTTATACTGTGCTGGCAAGGTGCATCTAAAAAAACCATTAGTGAAGGTTGTTCCTATGTTGGAAAACCCTCAAAGAGATCATCTGGACTTTGAGATTCGTAATAGAATCTTCTAACACATTATCTGGACCATCTATTTTCAAGATTTTTAAATATTTATAGAACTGCTTGATCGTCATCATTTATGGAACTTTAAATTTCATAATTGGGTCGACAATAGATTTTCATACCATTGCAAGGCTTTGTGGCATCGAAACTGCATTGTCAGGATAGTTTTGAGGCACGCTTTACTTCAATAGTACAAGGTTGACACCTTATACAAACCTCACTCGTAATAGAATTGTGTTCATTGTAATTAAAAAATTTATGATAAAATTTTTGGAGATTACCTAGGTTGTGTAATGTTTTCACCGTTTTAAACCCAAATTTCTTACTTCACACCACATAGGTGAAAATATAAATAGATTTCGGTTGGGCATGGAATAGCCATTTTTTTTCATGCATTTGACTATTGATTTTCATCACTTGCCTTCAACATAATAAGAATTTGAAATAAGATGCTCTTGATTTTGATCGCATGCCTTCAACGTGATGAAAACTTGGAATAAAATATTTATAATCTGGTAAGTGTTTTTCATCTCTTCTTTTTTTATGTTATAAATACCTTCAAGCCTCTCTCTACTTACATCAGGCTAACTCGTGAGAATAGGTTAAAAAAAAAAAAAAAATGGAAAAGAATAGAAGGAAATAGAGAAGTTTAGTTAGTAAACAAGAAGGCTTAGTCATTACATAGAGTAGAATACAGCAAACAAACAATATCTTGAGGTATTGGAGGAGACATATTAAATTTAAGTATTTTTTTATTTTTTAGGCATAATTTTTTATTAAGATTTTATGTTACATTGTTTTATGACAGATATATAGCCCTTCCAATATTGATAAAGTATGTAGTCATATTATTCTTAATAATTATTTTATATTTAAGAAGTTTTTAAATATTTTATTAATTAATTATTGTTATTTTTTAACTAGGTGGATGTAGTAACTGGTATAAACATATATTTGTCAGTTGTTTGTTAGTTTACCGTTGAAGATGAAAAAAAAGGTAATTGTAATTTCGATTAGTTTATCGCTATATTTGTTAATTAATTTCTAGCTT